TGCCTCCCTGGTCTAGGAGGGCAGCCCCAGAGTGCTCCAAGGACAGAAAAAGGTTTTGTTTAGAGGACAGAGCAACCTGTACCTGGTCTTTCCAATGGAAACAACAGCATGAGAAGCATGTGGGGCAGGTGGAGAATTAATAGTGCACATACTACTTCCTTTGCGTGCTCAGTTCAAACAATTCTTGCTTGAGTACCTGACAGAATGCCATTCTCTCAGAACCGTAAAGACCAGCAGGACAGGAAAGAGCCTCACTGTGGTGCTGGTGATATGCTTTGTCTTGGCAGAAAGGAGAAGCTGATGCTTTGAGCTTGGATGGAGGATATATCTACATTGCGGGCAAGTGTGGTTTGGTGCCTGTCCTGGCGGAGAGCCAACGTAAGTGGGGAAGTGTCCTTTCTGGTTTATTCCCTCTGGGCTTTGGGGTCAGGGTAGGGAGGAATAACCCTACTCAGTGGGTCCAGGTGGAGGAATGGATACGAACAAATAAAGATGGATGGTTACCTTCAAACAGGACAATCTGGGGACAGAATAGAGGAAAGGGGCTGTGTTACCCACACAGAATATTATAGTAAGAACTAACAAAACCCAGGTTGGCTTCTTATTCTTAATTAAAAAAGATTTTAGTAAAATATAATATAGATACAGAAAAGTGCACATAAGTGTATGACTCAAGGACATTTCACAATCTGGCACATCTCACTGCACTAGTGCCCAGATCAGGACACAGCAGGTCTCACAATTCCCCTTGTGTCCTCCTGCCACCAGCCGTCTTTCTCCAACAAGGGTAATGACTCCTGACTTCAAATAGCACAGATCAGTTCTGCCTGTTTTTGAACTTTAAGTAAAAGGAGTTGCACAGGTGCTTTTTCAAATGGCTTTTGCTGAGCATTATATCTCGTTGATATATAGTATCCTGTTGTGTGACTCTATGGCAGTTATTTATTCTACTGTGGATGAGCATTTGGGTAATTTCCAGTTGGTGGCTATTGTAAGTCGTGCTGTTATGAATGTCTGTGAACACATATATGTATTTCTGTTGCTTGGAACTGCTGGGATGGTCTCTTTGGACTTGATTCTGCATTGTTGAGACTTAAAAGTTTATGATTTCTCAGACGGAGAAAGACAAATGCCTTCTGATTTCACTCATACGTGGAATAAAAAAAAAACACACCAAACCACATCAAACACAGATTCAGGGAATAGAATCCTGGTGACAGAGGGGAAGGAGGGTCGGGGGAGAGTGAAATGGGTAAAGGTGGTCAGCTGTATGTGATGGATGGAAACTAAACTTCTGGTGGTGACACGCTTTAGAGTATATAGAAGTCAAAATAGAACGTCGTACACCTGAAATATATGTAATGTTATAAACCAATGTTGCCTATTTGAACAAAATGCTCTTCTAATAGAACAACACCTATGGCTTCACATTATCCATCACATGAAATGCGAGTGATGAGACTTTTTTTCCAAAGGAGAAGCCAGTTAATGAGTCTGAAGGCATGGATGGGGCGTGCTGAAGAGACATAAAAAAATGCTTCTTTATCCTTGGCCTCTCGAAATGGAACTAGAGGAAGCCAGGCAGGTGGGACATGGTACCCCTCACCTCCAAAAGGCGAGGATGAGGTAGGAAGGAGTCCTTTGATTGCAAGTGACACAAACCCACTGCCAAGTGGCTTAAACAGAAAAGATAGTTGATTGGTTTCTGTGGTGATAGAAATGTCCAGAAGTTTCAGCAGTTGCCCCCGGGCACATCCCCAGACAGGTATGAAGATGTCAGTGACAACACTGGAAGCAATGAACTTAGGAGCCCAAACTCAGCTCAACAAGTTACAGACAGTAAAGTGATTTGAACTTTAAAACACAGTATTGGGTTGAAAACAAAAAAAAGGGAAGAAACTCAGTGAAGCCTGTAGTACAGTGGCATTTATTTATATTGAAAACACATATACAAACTGAGTCACTGCTGTACACCTGAAACTAACATTCTGGATCAACTACACTTCAATAAACAATAAGAATTAAAAAATCCCCACATGTACACAAAACTATACCAATATACGTTGATTTGTGGGTACCTTTGAAAAATATATAAACACATTAAAGAAATGTTTAGTGACATTTTGCTTGTCTTTATTTCTTCAGAATCCCCCGAAAGCAGTGGCTTAGATTGTGTGCATCGACCAGTAAAAGGTGAGTTGGAAGTGGTCACTTTCAGGGGCAACTGTAAATTCTTGTTGCTGGAGGGGAGGTGATAGGAACTTTTTAAGTTCCTTTTTTAAAACCTGCACAGAGAGAGATGCAGCCGAAGCTATAAGTTCTTTTGCAGATGCGAATAATTCAGCAAGGAGTAACTAATTAAGTTTATATGGACCGTCACAGATGGCGGAGAAATTTCAGAGTTCCTCATTGTGTCGTGGTTATGGGGAAGGAGGGGTGTTACATCCCCATCTCGTATGGTTGAGGAAACAGTGCCCCAGGTCTCACTCACACCCATAGAGAAGACTGTGGCAAATCTTGGTCTGGATTTGTGCTAAATCCCGTGCTCCACCCCAACCCGCCCACAAGAGCTGGTGCTTGTCCAGCTTCAGTCTGCCAGGTTCGTGCTATCAGGAGGAGGACTGCACCACCTTGACCCCCTCTCAGCACAGGGAGGTCCTTGGGGACACACCCCCTGCACCCACACAGCACTCAGTCTGTGGGCCGGCATTCCTCTGGCCCGACGCTGTTGGTATATTGCATATTGCAGTTAGTGATTTAGGCACTATTGGGGTCATGCTTGTTGTTCAGTGTTTGTTGCTTTAGCAGCCTGCATCTAGAATACAATGAATTGCTAGTTTATAACTTAGGAACAGTGTATCGCTGGTCAAGGACTGTCCCCTGAGATCACTGAAAGGATGAGCTTACTATTTCATGTCAGAGCCCAGATCAGTCTCATCTTAACATAGAGCAGCAGCTTAAGCTTTTTGCTGTATCTGATAATGGCCAGTTATCTGGGGGAGTCACTACCTGGGGATGCTTCTTGACCTGGGTTGGCCTGGGTTGCAGACAGAGCTAAGACTTGCTCTTCTGTTGTCCAAGGGTATCTTGCCGTGGCGGTTGTCAGGAAAGCAAATGACAAGATCACCTGGAATTCTCTGAGAGGCAAGAAATCCTGCCACACCGCCGTGGACAGGACCGCAGGCTGGAACATCCCCATGGGCCTGCTCTTCAAAAATACAGACTCCTGCAGATTTGGTAGGAGTCCTGAGGGAGTCGGGGGTCGGCTGGGCTTGGAGTGGGGTTAGGCTGGGGTTCCCTGTGGAACATGGGGAAGGGAGGGGCGGGGATTTGCAGGCTTCCTGTGGCCCACAGGCCCCTCTCGGTGTAAGCAGGCTCCCGCCGTGGCTGCCTCCTTTCGTGGATGTACTGCAAGCTTCTCTGCACCACACTTCCCACACCCTGCCTACCCAACTTGAAGGCACAAAACTGGAGCATCCATCAGTGTTTCTGCACCCCAAAAATGGATGCAGGTTCTGAGAAGTACAAAAGTTAATTTTTGCCTCCTAAAGCTCCCAATCTAAATTTCTCCCAGCAGTGGCTTCCTAATTTGGGAAAAGCCACCTGCCCGCCTTCTGAAAGGTAACTTCTGTTCCTAAACAGAACTGACTTCTTATTCCACATGGCAGAGGAAACGGAGTAAGACCTCCAGGCTTCTGGCTCAGCCTGCTGCCGGTGCCTCCTCTCCCTGCCGCACCCTATGCTCACACCCCTCACGTGAGCGACTCCCTACCTGCCGTGGGCCTGGAGACGTGGAGGTGTGTGCCACGTTCTCGCCATGGCCCATCTCCTGTGCAGGCGTCTGCTCGAGGGGGGCCCTGCTGCATTTTGAATGGGTCTGTGATCCTGGCTTGGCAGACTTTTCGTGTGGCTCTGCTCCTTACCAGCAGTGCCGGCTGGTGCTACTCTCTCTGACCCCACGGCTGCCTCCAGGCTGTGGGGAAGCTGCCAGGACTATGGTGGGGTGCTCCCAGCCCTCACCAGAGCTTGGCATGGGGCATGGGCTGCACGAGTCAGATAATGGGTGCTACTTGCTCATCAATGGGGCAGGGCTTTCTTGTCACCTTTATTTCCTCTCTCTTTAACCCGAATTAATCCACATTAAATCCTTACCGTGGGTTAAATCACATGATGGGTTAGTTCAGATTAGCAGCTCCAAGGACAGAAAACCCCCAGTAGATGTTAATAGAAGCTTATTTCTCTCTATGTGAGTGAAGTCTGGAGGTAGGTTGTCCAGAGATGGTAGAACGACCACATGGTGTCAGGGACCCAGGCTTCAAACATCTGGCTACTCTGACACTTGTGTGGCTTCCATGTTCAAGGTCACCTCATGGCTCATGTCACATCTGGAGGTCCAGTTCCCACTTCTGTACTCCATGTGCAGAATGAAGGAAGGGAAGGAAAAGAAGGGGCAAAAGACATGTGCCAATTTTATTTTTTGGTGGGGGGAGGGTAGGAGGAGGTAATTAAGTTTATTTATTTATTTTTCCTAATGGAGGTACTGGGGATTGAACCCAGGACCTTCTGCATGCTAAGCACGCACTGTACTGCTGAACTATAGCCTCCCCCCGATCAGCTTTTAAGGCTGTTGAGTCACTGGCACCCAAGACTCTCACTTGTATTTCATTAGCAAGTACCTAGCCACGTGGCTTATGAGCCACAGAGCATCTGATGAGGCTCATCTTTGTTCTAAGGGACCAGGAGCCCAGGTAAAAAGCAGTTCTATTACTGAGGAAAAGGGGGAATCAGGTCCTGTGGTAGACAACCAGCAGCTTCTGCTATGATGGCTGTCACGTTCATCAGTTGAGTCCCCAGCTCGAGCTGTGAGGGTGGGACCCTTTGTGCTGTCACAGACTCTCTTCTCTCACCCTACTTGGGTTTCCTGTCGATGCCTGCAGTCTAAAGTTTTTCTGATTTCTGGTGGGTCCCTCATTGTTGGTAACATGTTACTACATGTGATGGTGACTGTTCTATCTGTCTTGGGCAATAGGATGCACGGAAACCAAGCCACATCATCTGTTAGGGAAAGACTGCTTCCCTTGAGTCAGGTAGGAAGAGCTGACTTCTCGTGTTTCTTCTCTGCAGATGAATTCTTCAATCAAAGCTGTG